TCCCCGGCAGCCGCTGGGCAGGGACGGGGGCCCAGCCCCCCCGACCCACCCCCCCGGGTCCGCTGCCAAGAGTCCGCCGTCACGCTCCTCACAGCCTCTTCTTCCTCACCACGGGGATGGGCACCACCTGGAAGATTTTGGCCTGGTGGTCCTCGGTGGCCAGGGTCACCCAGGTGGGCCGGAAGCTGCCTTTGAAGCCAACGAAGACCATTTTGTCTGAAAAGGAGTGACGAGTCACGTGAGCAGAAAGCACAAGAGGGAGTGGCTCCCGCCAGGCCCTGCCCCACCCCGGCACCCCCTCCCCTGGCCCCTGGGACATGCTCTGTGCCCAGCTCCTGACAGCTGTGTGTACGCGGGCACAGGTCTCAGCTGCTAGGATTCAAGTGACTTAGCTGTCTTCATTCTCAGTGTCTTCACTTTACTATATATATAAAAGCCTAAGCGACCTTTACGACCGGACGACCGGACAACCGGCCAGTAGCTATGACGCGCACTGACCACCAGGGGGCAGATGCTCAATGCAGGAGCTGCCCCCTGGTGGTCAGTGAGCTCCCACAGCCAACCTCTCGCGGTCCCTACCCCCAGCCAGCCGGCCCCGATCGGCCCCGATCACTGGCAAGGCCGAGGGACCCCACCCGTGCACAAATTTGTGCAACAGGCCTCTAGTATGGGAATAACGTACCTGTTCCATCGTTTTAAGGCAAGCATGTCAAACTTGCAGCCCACAACGGATATTTTTGCAGCCCAGCCAATAGAACGGTATGTAAGGAACGTTCTAATAAAAATTTTATAACTTAATTTTTACAATATCCTGTTGTACATAATTATGAATAATGAGCTACAACGTTCGCTAATGACTGATGACTAGCATCATGTTGCATTCGCTTCCCTTACGCGCCTTACACGCAGGTGCACTATTTCTCTCTACTGATACCGGCAGCGAATGTTCCAGCAGCCGATGGCCACGTCCTTGGTCTGGGACTGACCTGCTTAGTGTGTGCGCAACAGGAAATACCTCGCTTTCGGACAACGAGAGAAATAGGTTTATCTGCGTGACGCTTATTCATTTGTGCAGTTACTCAGGGTCTGGTGAGTTAATGTTCAAGAAAAAAGATTAATTTTTATTAAAATGTTCTATTATTTTATGTGAACAATGACTCATTTATTTCAGCCCTTTGTATTCAGCACGTCTCTACCGAAACAAACCTACGTTTCTATGAAAATGGAAGCTTTTGCCCTGGCCGGTGTGGCTCAGTGGATAGAGCATCAGCCTGCAGACCGAAGGGTCCCGGATTCGATTCTGGTCAAGGGCACATGCCTGGGTGGCGGGCTCCATCCCCACTAGGGGGCGTGCCGGAGGCAGCCGATCCATGATTCTCTCTCATCGATGATGTTTCTATCTCTCTCCCTCCCTCTCCCTTCCTCTCTGAAATCAATAAAAATATATTTTTAAGAAAAAGAAGAAAATGGAAGCTTTTGTTTTTTTGCGGCCACATCCACTCAAACCTCGTTTATCTGGCCCGTGTCAGCCTGTGAGTGTGACATGCTTGCTTTAAGGAATACGTGGGATCAGCGTGAAATCGTGCAGCGAGGCGCCAGGCTGAACACAACACGTAACTATGGTGACGTCCTCACCGTTAACTGCAGTTTCCCGCCTCCCCTCGGCCCCTGGGGACCCCCTGAGCACAGCGTGCGCTTGCCGACTGTGACGCTGACGCTTCTGCCAGCCGGCCCCAACCCTGTGGGCTGTGCCAGGCTGCAGCCCAGAAGGGCAGGGTGACCTTGACCAGGGTGACCTTGGGTCTCTGGCTCTCCCCAGATAACCTCCGAGGAACCAATGAGAGCTTTGCAAACGCAGCGCCTGCCCAAAGGGGCCCGGGCCGGGATGCTGAGCGGGCAGTGGGAGGTCCCAGCCACCTGAGCGGCCAGAACTGGGAGATGTCAGACCGAGCCACTTTCTGCGGAGATTTTTGTTGAAATAAAGAGCCATTTGCTGAGTAGATGATGAGCAACATCAACAGCTTCCTTCAGGGTCTGGTCACACGTAAAGGGAAGTGTCTGTCCCCGGCCGGTGTGGCTCAGTGGATAGCGCGCCGGCCTGCGGACCGAAAGGTCCAGCGTTCGATTCCGGTCCAGGGCACGTACCTCAGTGGCAGGCTCCTCCCCGGCCTGGGCCCTGGTTGGGACGCATGCAGGAGGCAACCCATCAATGTGTCTCTCTCACATTGATGTTTCTCTCTCTCTCTCCCTCTCTTTTCCATTTTCTCTAAAAATCAATGGGAAAATATCCTTGGGAGAGCATTAACAAAAAAATAAAAAAATTAAAAATTAAGGAAAGTGTCTAGAGGTGGCACTTGCCCTGCAACCAGGACAGCACTGAGCCAGGGCCGGTACCAGAGATCACCACTGGGGGCAGCACTGAGCCATGGCCAGTACCAGAGATCACCACCGGGGGCAGCACTGAGCCGTGGCCAGTACCAGAGATCACCACCAGGGCCAGTACCAGAGATCACCACTGGGGGCAGCACTAAGTCAGGGCCAGTACCAGAGATCACCACCGGGGGCAGCACTGAGTCAGGGCCAGTACCAGAGATCACCACCGGGGGCAGCACTGAGTCAGGGCCAGTACCAGAGATCACCACTGGGGGCAGCACTAAGTCAGGGCCAGTACCAGCGAGCACCACCGGGGGCAGCACTGGCACGGCCAGGCATCATTCTCCAATTAGAATGAGAGGCTGTGCCATGTTTGGGGGGAGGAGCTGGTCTCAGCCCGGGCAGGAGCGCCTGAGCCCCCGGCATCGGGACTCAGAAACCCCAGTCCAAACCCCTCACCTTTCAACTTGAGCCCCTTGTCCGCCCCGAGCTTCTCCAGCACGCGCGTCCACGGGCCTCTGGAGACGTACCTTCCCTTGGACGCCACGAGGACGATGGAGCTGAGCGAGAGAGGACCGATTAGCGCACGAGCGAGCACCACAGAGCAAAGGCCCCTGGGAGGCGTGGGGGACTGTCCGAGGTGGGGCCGAGGGAGCAGTGCCCAGAGGCCCGGCCAGCGACCTTGGGGAGGACCCATGTCCTGGACACCCTCCCTCACATCTGGCTGCCGCTGGCACCCATGACTCTCTAAGGCTCTGCTCTGCTCACTGCTTTTACATCTGCCCCCAAGGAGGAGAGAGCAGGTACCAGCGGGTGCCACCGGGGGCAGCACTGAGTCAGGACCAGTACCAGAGATCACCACTGGGGGGCAGCACTGAGTAGAGGGTCAGTACCAACAGGTGCCACCAGGGGCAGCACTGAGCCATTGCAATGTTCTCCACTCTGTTGCACCACCAGGGGCAGCACTGAGTCAGGGCCAGTACCAGCGAGCACCACTGGGGACAGCACTGAGTAGGGGGGTCAGTACCAGCGGGTGCCACCAGGGCAGCACTGAGCCATTGCAACGTTCTCCACTCTGTTCGGACAGGGCTGGGAGAAACATGGGGAATGAGAGAACCTGAGCAACCACCTGCTCAGGGAATTCACCTGTCACCTGCCTGTCACCTCCCTCCCTGGTCACACAAGACCGCATGACTGCTCTGTTTCACAAATGGGGAAACCGAGGCATATGGTTACTAAGTGTCTGAGAGGACCTGGGTGTGGGAGCCCTGCTGAGGAGCGGGCAGAGGCCTGGAGCAGAGGTGCGCCCAGCTCCATGGCTGTGTCCAGGCCCCAGCGCCGTGCAAACGGCCCCCCGGTGGCAGACAGCGCTGCCCAGACGGAGGAAGTGAGCTGCTCCCGGGAATAGAAACGGGCAGAAGCCCAGAGGGGCCGCCGTTCCCCTCTCACAGGAGCCCCGGGAACCACAGACCGCAGGCCAGACTGGAAAAAGTGCCTGGGATCCTGGCGCCGGCTGCCAGGCCCTCCCCCGGTCCCAGGGGGAGCGGAGGCCGGTTCTTAACATGCAACGGGCCGTGCGCAGCCTCGGCGAGGGCGGGGGTGCAGGAGGCCGGGAG